AATTAGCAGCATGACACAGCGACCTGGCGAAGCTTGCTGCTTCGTCTTTGAGGGCATGGGAAGCTATTAGGACATGTTCGGCAGGATATATTTTTTGCAGATGCACGTAGGAGTTCACATTGACCTCCCAGTTGTCGAAGTTCTCCTCCTCCTTTCCACTATAGGAATCGGGGAACTTCACCTTAACCGGCTCCCATCGGGGACGACCTTCCTCCTCTTTTGGTGCAGCCAATTTGGCGCCCTCTATGGAGCAAGTACAAAATCGCTTCGTGTTCTCTAATCTCGTCTGCACTTTTGAGCCCACGTGCATAATCATCTCGCGTGCAAACTCTCTAAAGCCCAGTCGAATCTATCGCAGGGCTATATCCCGACTCCTCCCAAACAGGTATTGCTCCTCCTGAGCTTGTGCTAGGCGTTCTATATTCTTTGCCATTACCTCCATCTTCCCTTGCAAATCCGCCTGTGCCTCCATCTGCACCCTTAACTGTTTCACCTCCTTCAGTTTTTTCGCCGCCTCCATTCTCTTCTTCCTCTCCCTGGTCAGACGCAGCTTCCACTCCAACTTTTTCTCCTCTTCTATCGTCTGCTGTTTGAGGGGATCTTCCTCGGCTTCCAATTCTTTCACGACGGCCTCCTGTTCTTCCCTTTGAACGTATAACATCGCCTCCTCCTCTCTCCCAGAGACAGATTGGCAACCCATTTAGAAACCTTCTTCTCCAGCCAAGAATCCTCTTTCTTTGTGCCACTTGTCTCGCTTGTGTCCCTAATACTTCTTCTAATCAGGGGCACTTCTTCCTCCACCTTTTTCTCTTCTTCTTCTTATTTTGCATCCACCGCTTTCATCTTTTCTTCCTCCTCTTTTTTCACCCTTTCGAACTCCTCCTCCAACTTCTTTCTTTTCACGACCTGCTCCTGTAGCAAGGCCAGCTTCTTGGCCTGCTTCACAACCTCCTCCTCTTTCTTGGCCTTCTACTTGGCCAAGATCCTCGCAGCCTCCTCCTCCTGCGCCTTGGTGTAAGGAGTTGTACTAGTGCCACCCCTCGTCCCTACTCTACACGTCATGGTGTTCCAGAAACCCAACGGAAAGAGGACACGCCAGAGGGTCCCCCAAAGGGAGAACCCCACGAGCAGGCCGTACATAGGGTAGTCATCCATGGTATCCGGTGCACGACAATGACTGTCCCACTCCTCACCACTTACACCTACCCACCGGACTGTCTGACTGACTGTCTAAGGACCACATGATCCAGATAAAACCCTGTCAAGTATGGTCACTAGCCTGTAACTAATACTATGGCTGTCACTACAGGACTTACTGCTGATCAGGAGGCATTTAAGGAGATCCCCCGTAACTCCTCAGGAATATTTAACGTCGCAAACAAGACAACGCGATCAGCAAGTCCTCTCAAGACTTAGACAGCTTGTTGTGCAGCCCACAGCTCGGATTTTGAGCCCACTGTGCCACACCGAGCAGCCCGCCGGTCTGTACCAGTCCTTGGGAGGGTTCGTGTCCTCCGGGTCAGTCGAGTCGGACTCAGCCCATCTGGGTTTGGTCAACAAAGCTCTATGACCTCATTCACAGAGTTCCTATCACCTGGACAGAAGAGACTCAATGTAGAAAGAAGAGACAGACAGACTCAGCAAGTACCGTGGGGTGAGTGCACATTCATAGGGTGAGGGGATAGGCCGAAGGCTTGGCGAGAATATACCAACTCCACCTTGGTCAATTGCTTCGTCAACGGCCCTTGTCAACGCAGGTCAACGCTTGGTCAACTCGGCGGTCAACACCTTGATCAATGCCAGTCAACTCGTTGGTCAACTCTCCAGCCAAAGTCTTGGTCAACGCTGGACCGCTGGTCAACCCTTCGGTCAATGCCTTGGTCAACCCTTGATTCGGCTATGGCTGCCGGCACCTTTCTTCCTCGCCAACCTCCCTTATCCTCCTCCTTCCTCCTCCCTTCTTTCTCCTCTTTCTCACTTCACCTCGGCTATGGCTTCCTTCACTTTCGTTGTCCCTCCTTCCTTCTCACTAGCTATGTCTTCTTCTCCTTCGTCTCTATTCCCTTCTCCTTCACTTCACCTTCCTCTTTCTTGATAACCCTGTCTCCGAGCTCCGTGGCTATGGCCGCTTTCTCTCCTGGTCCGCACAACAAGCTTGTATCGCTCCTCTCTCTCTCTCTCTCTCTCTCTCTCTCTCTCTCTCTCTCTCTCTCTCTCTCTCTCTCTCTCTCTCATTGTCTTCTATGCAGGTACGTGGCACCTCCTCTCCACAGTGCAGCTATGGCAGACTTTAAAACTCCTTCGGTGCACCTCGGCTATTGCGCCTGACTGGCGCGCATCGCTCCTCCTGCCGGCAACGATGATGGCGCGTGGGGTAACGGGAACCAGCTCCGATACCAATGCAACCAGACTCGCTTTCTCTTCGTCTTCGCATACATGCAAACAGATAGCAATTCACACTGGTGCCAAGCGCCCACTCGAAGCTCAGAGATATGGAAACCAAGAACACAGTTCAGATATAAACTCACTTCATCAGGCTATGACGCATCAGCGCCCATACACCCAACTCTCGTCACTGTGTCCAACACCAGTATTCGCACGTACTCAACTCTGGATCACCCTGAATAACCCACGCACACGCACTCTGTATCACACACACACACACACACTAACAGCCACCTCTAACCTATGGCAGCTATGGCCGCTCGCTACTACTACATGGCTACGCTATCTTCTTTCAGCCCACTTCGACTTCGGGCGCTCTGCAGACCACCTCGCACAAGACGCTGGGGCAGCGCTTCCGCATGGCTGACGCAGCGAATGAATGAATGGCTGGGCACTGCCTCTTGATTTATACTTCTGTAAGATGTTCGTCTGCCCCTTTTCCACCGGGCCCATGGTGCACATAGTCCCTCATGGTACTTGCTGACTGTGCACAGTGAGACTGGGACTGGGTACCGCTGACTAAGCGAAGTTGGACTCCACCACTTGCCCACTTGCTTCTGGTCTGCTGTGTAAAACGTGAGAAGAACTTGAACGGCCACTTCCGGACCTTCTGGAAGTTTGCGGACTTGGCCTTTCAAGACTGTAGCAGCTACAACCTTGACCTTTCAGGACTGTAGCAGCTACGACCTTGACCTTTCAGAACTTCAACAACTACGCCCCCTATGCAGGTGTGACCCCTCCTTCGACAGGTCTAAGGTTCAAGACCCTGCAACTACTCAGACCTACGACAGACAACTTCAACTACTACCACACAGGTTACGGGTTCAAGACTCACAGGGTCGACTCGATACTGTTCACAGGTAAGGTAAGGTAAGGTGAGGTCTGTGGATCGAACTCTGGGATCCGCATCTGTGTCTGCAAAAAGGTGAAAACCGTTTCAGCAATGATGCGCTTGATGCAATCGATGCCATCAAATCAAATGAAATCAATCCATGAAATCATGAAATCAATCGCAGATGTGTTTGATGAACTTTGATCTTTCTTTTGTGACCTTCCCGATGGATGAAGGTGCTTGGCATCATTTCCCACCCGTGCAGGGCGGCATCACATGCTGGCAGGCACTTGTGTGCATGTGATTGCTGGCTGCCACTCCCCACCTCCCTCGTTTCTTCTTCTTCTTCTTCTTCTTCTTCTTCTTCTTCTTCTTCTCCCAATTACAATATGAATGTGCAGAATTGCACACGCACTGGCATATCTGATTGTATGAAAACATTGAAAAGTGAAAAAAAGTGGTCGTGCCACTGTGGGCAATTGTGCACACAATTCAATAATTAGTCATTACTCGTTGTCACTTTTTTCCTAATCATTTCGCTGCTTTTTCGTCTTGCATGCTGTTTTTTTTTGTTTTTTTTTCCCCTTCTTCACACACACAAAGCATGATTTTGTGGGTGTGTGCGTAAGAGCTTGTGCAAGTAGTGGTTGAACCCAGTGAAAGTAGACCAAAACGGTTCCACGTCCTGATCGACATGTGCAGCATTGCTTGGACACACTGGTATGATGCGAGCTAGGGAAACTGTCACTGGGTTCGATCACTGTCCTGATACACACCTATCTCCATGCCCTACATCTCTGTTACCCAATAAGAGGGTACATGGTGGGTTACATGGCAGGACTTTGCCTCTGTGTATCTAGTCACGATTATGAGGTTAATTCCTGCAGGAAGTCCTCGTGTGAGAGTGTATCAGGACTGCTTCATTTGGTATTTGCTACCTTCCTCTCCCTTCATTTGGGACTGCTTCACGGTCTTCGAGTCTAAGCGTTTTTTTTTCTTGAAGGGTTTTTTTTGTTTCTTTTTTTTTTTTTTCTGTTTGTATTCTCTGCACTTAGCGTCATGCCAAGTTGACCGTTTGGCTGACAAATGACAAAGTGGAGTTTTTACCTAGGCTGTTTTTCCAGGTGCCCGGGCACCGAACTTGTGCCTGGATACATGCCCTGGTGCCCGGTCGGGAATGACCCCCGGGCAGGGTTCCAGGCAGCCCCAGCCCACAAAATAAGTAAATAAATAAACGATCAAACAATAAAGCAAAATCGGGAAAGAAATATGTTGTGTAGAATTATAATTGCAATGCGAACGACTTTTGGCTGAGGGTCACATCAGAATTCCTCACAGAATTGGGGATAAAAGAAAGAAAATAACAGAATCACACTAAGGCACCCCCCTCTAAACCCCTTTAGCCCCTTTAAAACCAATTTATACCCACTGCCCCCCCCCCCCCCCCTGACAGCCAACGCTCAAAAGAAGAAAAGAGCCCAGATTTGGAGTCCTCTCCGAGAGTGTGGAAAACCTACCTAAAAAAAAAAAGAAAAAATCCCACGCCGGGTACCCCAGGCGTCAGACCCCCCCCGGGCGTGACAATCTTCGAGGTTTCTACGCCACAGATGTGGTATCAATTACTAATTTAGTTGAATTTCCTTTTTTTTTTTTTTTTTTTTTTTGGTTGGAAAGTCTTCAACCATGTGAGTTTTGCTGAGGTAGCTTTGTGTGTTTGCTGCAGGGTGGTCCCCAGAGGACTTGGCTCGACTCCGCTTACGGGTATACCCCCTTCCTCGAGACCTGAAGGGCGGGCTACTGGAAGAGACTGGCCAGAGGAGGATAGTGGAAGCCCAGGCAGCGTGGGAGATTGGTCAAAGGAGCAATTGTACAGGAAGGATCGAGAGATGATTAGGGATAGGGATAGACGCGGAGGCGATCGCGACAGTCTAGAACGGAGTGGTGCCGCTCTCGATCGTTATGATAGGGAGCTGTGGGGTGAGGAGCTGCTGCAGAGGAAGGGAACACCGGGTAAGGGGAAAGATAGGATGTCGTTGAGGGAACCGGAGTGGATGTCAAGAGAGGAATGGATAGAAGAAATGGAGCGTCCGGTACTGAAGGATGGACGGCGAGCTGAAGTGGAGGGACATATGCGGTATTGGGACAGAGATCGAGACGAAGAGGGTTATGACAGGGACCCTGACTCTAGGGTGGAGTACGACGAGTATGGGAAAAGGGGCAAAGTTGATCCGGATAGGGCAAGAGAGGAAGCGTTGGTGGGTTATAAGGATGATTATAGGAGGATGAAAAAAGAGGTGGAGGGGGTGAGAGGTGGGGAGCGCGTGGTTGCTTTTGGGGACGAGTACAAAAGGAGCAAAGCTGAGTTAGATGGGGCAAGAGAGGAGCGGTTGCTGGGATATAGTGATGAGTACAGTAGTAGGAGGGCGAAGATTGAAGCAGTGGGAATAAGGGAGGATCGGATGCTTGGGCGAAAGAGGAGGTTGGAAATGGACGAGGACATAAATGGAAGGGAGGCGTTGATGGAAAGAGAGAATTACAGTGAACGGCGGAGGGCACGATTAGTTGACGAAAGGGATGAAAAAATAGCTGTGGCAATCAAGGAGGGAAGCAAGGCAGAATGGTTGGAAGATATTGCAGGCGGCGGCGGCGGCGGAGGAGGAGGAGGAGGAGGAGGAGGAGAGAGGATGAGCAGAGGTGGGAAAATTGAAAGACTGATAAGGGGAGCAGACAGCAGAGGTGTGGAGAAGCTTTCAGCGATTGGCAGAGAGGACGATTTCTCATGGGAAGAGAGAAGAGAGCAGATTGTGCACGAGGTGAGTGAAGAGTTGCAGTGGAAGGGAAGAAGGGGAGTAGAGGAGAGGAAAAGTCATAAACTGGACGTTGAAGATGACCTTCGAAGAGAGGAGAGAAAACTTTATAGAGTGGATGTGGAGGATGATGTGCGATGGGAGGACAGAAAAAGTCAGAGACGCGATTGGGAGGACGTTGTGAAGCAGGAGGAGAGGGACGGGCGGCTAGCTGTTCGGGAAGAGTTGGACTGGGAGGAGGGCAAAAGTCGACGGGCAGAGGAAGAAGGTCCACAGAGAGGCGCGAGGGACAAGGAGAGGGAGGCTGGCCGATGGCACCAAAGCAGTACTGAAGCATTATCGGGAGATGGGAGAACGAAGAAACATCACGCCAGAACGCTGGAATGGGAGGGTGAAAGAGTCAGGAAAGAACGACAGGGAGCATATGTGGGACAGATGGCAGAGAGCGAAGACTTGTTTGTGAAGGGAGAGGATTTCAGGGAAAGGAGTGCAACAAAGGACAAAAGGCACAAGGAGGAAAGAGTAACGCTTGGATCAAGGGCAGAGGGTGATGGAGAGTTGTTGAGCTTTGGTGCGATCTCAACACGTGATCCTGCTCGTATAGCACCAGCTGTTGATGTCAAGCAAAGGGCATTGGACTCTTATGGGAGAAGAGAGAATGAGGAGGAAGAGGGGCTAAGGGCTGGAGGAATGGAGAGGAGAAGGGACCTGAGCAAGGTCAAGCATGCAAAGTCAATGCTAGAAGAACCCGAGAGGAAAACCCAGAGGGAACAGGGGAAGGGATACGAGAGGGAGCAGGCGCCTGAGAGGGAGTTTGATAAGGAATACGAGAGGGAGTATGGGAAAGAGCATGGAAGAGCCCATGGAAGAGAGCAGGACAGGGAATATGGCCGAGAACAGGAAAGGCAATATGGACGAGAACAGGAAGGGGAGTATGAAAGAGAACAGAAAAGGGAATATGGTAGAGAGCGTGAGAGGGAGCATGAGAGGGAGCATGAGAGGGAGCGTGAGAGGGAGCGCGAGGAGCGTGAGAGGGAGCGCGAGGAGCGTGAGAGGGAGCGCGAGAGGGAGCGTGAGAGGGAGCTTGAGAGGGAGCGTGAGAGGGAGCGTGAGAGGGAGCGTGAGAGGGAGCGTGAGAGGGAGCGTGAGAGGGAGCTTGCGAGGGAGCTTGAGAGGGAGCGTGAGAGGCTACGTGAGAGGGAGCTTGAGAGGGAGCGCGAGAGGCAACGTGCGAGGGAGCTTGAGAGGGAGCTTGAGAGAAAGCTTGAGAGAGAGCGTGAGATGGAGCGTGAAAAGGAACAAGATAGAGATAAGGTGAAGATGCGGAGCAAAAGCGGAGAAAAGGACCGTGAGAAAAAGAAGGGGACCAAAGAGAAGCAGAAAGAGAAGGTCAAACGAGCACCTAGAGATGGTACGGAACAACGGGAGAGGGAACATGGGGAGCAAGGTGAGAATGAAGAGCACCACAACAGGGAGAGTGGCGTGCGAAAGAAAAAGAAGGATAAGAAGAAACATGAACACAGGAAGGGAAAAGATCGTCATGATCGATTGCTGTCAGTCGATGCAGGTCCATCGCAGGTGGATGTGGTCCAACAGGAAGTTAGGACACAAGTGGATGCACGGGTGGACACGAAAGGCAATCCAGACTATCTGCAATCAGAGCAAGTCCAGCATAGGGAAAAGCGGGATGTCGAAAGAGCAACTGCGGACATGCGTATGGATGCAGACACGCGCAGTGCCCGAACAGAGAAAGAGAGAGGACGCGGGGGGATCAAAACCGACAAAGAATATCTACAGTCTGAACACAACCGTCAAAGTGACGAAAGGTATGTTGAAAGCGTGCGTATCTCCGAAGGAACTGATTTGCACATGGAGACACCCGACAGGCGTGGTTCCTGGACAGGGAAAGAGAAAATGCGCGCATCTGTTCTGGAGGATGTGAGGTTGTCCCAAAGCAATGGAGGTCTGGACGACACAAAGAGGGAGAAGGCTGAGATCCCTAAGGCTTTGGTCTTAGAAGATCACCGTTGTCTACCAGCGCATGGAGGTGAACAAGGGGGGGAACGAAAAAAACAAGGGAGGGAAGATTCTCTCAGATCGGTTGCGGAGGATGGCCGATCGCTGCCAACCCATGTAATGGAACAGGGGAGCCGAAGACAAGGGGGAGAAGGTCCTGGGCGAGCTCACACAGAGGACTCAGGCTTTTATGGATTAGACAGAGTCAGACATGCAGATCGAAGGGAAAGAGGGAAAGCTGAACAATCAACGGGTAATGATACGAGAGAAGCATGGTCAGAAGCAAGCAGGCATGGGGGAGCAAGAGGTGGGGAGATGTCACAACCAGGAGCAAGAGGTGGGGATATGCCACAACCAGGCGCAAGAGATGCCGCCGGCTCACTCGATGAGGATTTGCGTAAACATGAGAACAGGAGAGAAAAACGTAGAGGTCGTGACATAGCCGCGAGAGGTCCTGATTTATTGCAAATTGAGCCGCGAATCAGGGAGGAGTTTGGGGGTCCGAAGGAAAGGCCTGATGAGGATGGCGGAAGTAAGCTTCGACATGATAGACAAAAGGAGAAAGATAAAAGATCGCATGAGGCTGTTAAAGATGACTCCTCAATGCCCAAGAGCAGGTCTGGCAAACATGACGCCAGAAGTGAGGGATGGGAAAGGCACGATGTCACTGAGGACGCCTTCTGGCATGCTCATGAAGCCAGGCACGAGAGTAAGAAAGAGGAGACAATACAGGGAGTTGAGCCCGATGAAAAAGGACAAGCTGCAACGGGAACATCTCGAATACGAGGTTCTAAACGTCCACGGAAGAAGAAGGACAAGCGGAAAAGTCGTAAACATGCTCAGGATGGTGCAAAGCCCGTCACAGTGGCAGAAACCAAATGTGATGATAAACAGGAAGTGATGTCAGCATCTGAGAGTCTGGAGGATGGAGAGTTGCTGCCGTCTGATCAGGAACAAAATGTTAGAAGGAAGAGGAGGCTGGTTGGTGGTGAGACTGGAGAAGAGGCAATGTTGTCGACGAACGATGCCGCACCTGAACCTGGCGAACGTAGGAAGCAAGATAAAATGGAAGTGGTTGATGATCCAAGGGCAAAGACTGCGGAGCGGGCAGATGATGCAAAACAGCCAGACAGGCGGCAGGGAGGTCGCAACGAGCAAGTAGTTCCCGAAGCTGCGGCATTGTCACACCGCGAAGCAAGCGCCAGTCAGTCTGTAGTTCAAGAAAAGGAAGGGCCCCGGCCAGAAAACACGGAAAGTAAGCCATCCATGAAAGGACAGGCTGGGTCGGAGGAGGGACGGAAGGAGAAGGAAGTCCGCATAGGAATAACCACAATGGAAGGTACCCACCAGTTATCCCGGACGGAAACAACGGAACTGATCTCTAACCAGCTGGAGAAGTCTGGAGATGCCCTGCACGGAAGCGAGGGACTGGAAACAAGGAAGCGCCATGGCAGCGGAAGGAAGAAGGATTGGCATCAGGAAGATAGTCCAAACGATCTAAGTGCGTTGCGGAAGGAGAGGCAGGACATGGAAAAAAGTGCAGAAGACAAGAAACCGGATATAGTAGGTGATCATGGACGAAAAGATGAGAAAGACCACGCAGCCCCAAAGGATGAAGGAGAAGCGTTCCATGTGGCACATATGAAACCAGATGGCATTAGTGAGAAGAAGAGACCTCAGCGGCATGTTGTGGGTCCAAATGTGTCTGTAATCAGACCAGTTGCGGAAGACAAGGAGAAGCTGCTTGGCACCGTAATGGACCATAGAGTCATGACTCAAGCAGTGCAGAGAGAGGCTTTCGGTCACAGAAGCAGAGGGGAGGAGGAGGACTTGAGAGAATATGATGCTGTGAATGACAGGACTTCAGCCGAAATAGCAGACACGAGGAGAACTAGTAAGGGGAATGAGGGGGGACGTGAAGATGACAAGGACGATGGAAATGCTCTAAGGCTCTCTCAGACAGGTAGACCTGAGAGGAGAAGAGAGAAGGAGAAAAGAATTCAGAAAGGCCTTCAGGAGGGGGTTCATATTTCTCCGATGGATGAGATGTCTAGTGCCACTGTTAGTAGGATTGTGGGAGACTCGGTCAAGAGACGACGGCTTGGGTCTGGGATCGTTATCGTCAGAGGAGGAAGTCAAGCTGTAGTGATGAAGGGGGAGGATGGAGAGTTACTTGGAAACCTCCCCAGCATGCAGGTACCCATCTCTCTCTCTCTCTCTCTCTCTCTCTCTCTCTCTCTCTCTCTCTCTCTCTCTCTCTC